TTTCAGTCTGCAGGCCGACGCTCTATCCACTGAGCCAAACCGGTTTCCGCAAGACTCTTTCCTTAATCAAACTTTAGTTAAGGCTCCTCTGAGCCCTCAGGCCTGGACCTTAGCCTTCCATGTCCATTCTTGCTGAGTCCAATTTTAGTAAGAATCTGGCTAAATCAGTTTAGAGAGAATTTCCCCCACTTTAAATATCTGATTAAGCGCCTCATACCACACCCTGAACGTTCTTGCTTGCCTTTACCAAGAATCTTATTAGGCCAGTTTAGCAAGAATCCCCTTACCCTTGATGTAGCTTCGTAATAATTTTTACCCACTGACCCTCGCATTGTGCAGGTTGGTTATGAATCTCAGCTATCTCTTTTATATTCAGAGTTGAGTACATCTTGCTCCTGTATTATGTCTCCCTCTACAATATTGCAATACACTAAAGTCTTCCTTAGCATTTTAACAAGTGTCAGAATAATTTTCCTTTAACACCTGATATATAAGAATTACCTAGTAGGCATTATCTTACAGGTATAGAAAGGGGGAAATCATAACTGAAATCCATAATCATAAAATTAGAAAATTGGAAAAACTCTAGAGATCATTTAGTTGTCATGATATTGGAGGAAATCCCTCTACAAAAACAGTCTTGACTGAATACCTGTTTATAAAAAAACAAAACAAAACTATTTATTGGGAAGTCTATTTAATTTTTGGGATAATTCTGAATGTTATTTTTCTTCTTCTATGTATCCACTCCTATTCCGATTCCTTCCTTTTATTAATCTGAGTTCTGACCTCTACATTTAAAAGAATAAACCAATCACCTTCTAGGCAATTGCCATTCAACTATGTAAAGATAGCTGTCATTGCCCATCCTAAGCATTTTTTTTAGAGGAAAAAGTCAAGTATCTATCACTACACCTCAGGGGATATGGCTTCTAGATCTTTCTTTGCTCTGGTCCCCTTCCTAAGGTTTCACTTCAGCTACATAATATTCTCTTAAACGTCACCCCGGCATGACTCACGGTGCTCAGTGTGTTCTGGTCAGTGCAGGAGGCCTCTGCCTCCTAGGTCATCTTTTACTGCACTGAGAGCGATGTTCGGTCTTTGGGCTGCCGCCATTTGAAAACCCATAATTTTTTTTCCATCATTTTTAAAAACTATTATTGAACTAGATTTCTTTCATTTGCTATTTCTAGAGTTGATTTTAAACTTGAATTCAGGATGTTACACTTGTTCCTGTTAAATTTTAATCTAGTTCCTGATTCTGTTGTGATATTTTTGAATTCCAAGTTAGGGGCGATATATACTAGTGACAGTAAACATTGAATAGTATCTGTGAATTTGATAAATATGTTTACTGTGCATTCATGTCAAATCATTGACAAAAATATCGAGCAAGGCACTGAGTCCGGCGCCTATCAGCTAGTACCTCCCTTCACATAGGCGTTGTTTAGCTTGGGGTCACACCAGTAAGTTGTAAATCCTGGCTCTGCCCTTGACTGACCTTGTGGCCTTGACATTATTTAACTCGTCCAAGCCCCAGTCTCTCCTTCTACAAAATGAAGCTAAATAACAATGGTATTTACTTATGGCTTCATGTGGAGCTAAAATGAGAACATGTCTGGGAAGTCCTTACCCTAGGGACATAAAATATGTAATTTTTTTCATATCAAACTAATAGGAAGATTCAAAATGTAGCAGGTATGATATAGAAAACAGATTTGACATATTGTTTGGAATAGACAGCATAAGATATGTTCTTTATGTTTTTCATAAACAGGAAAAACACTTGTTAGCTTAACTGTGGATGGGGAATATCTATACTGGGTCTCCACAGCAAAGGAGGGCACAGAGACTTATCAAGTGAAGAAGAGCCGAGGGGCCACCCCCTCTCAGGTGAAGGCCCCCAGGAGCGAGCGCATCTTGGCTTACAGTTCGGTGCTGCAGCCTTTTCCAGGTAATCAAGCCACAGGCTGAGTCAGCTTGTTCTCCCAGTTCAGGGCCGGAAAGTCTCATCATGACTCCTTCTCCAGGCTGTTTCTCCAGCTCCTGTGTTGTGCTGTCAGTGTTGCTCCAAACTGCCAGGATTTGGCGTGCATCCGAGGCTTGGGGTGCGGGAGGCAGCCAGAGGCATGGGAAACCCTTGCTGCCTGTTTCTCTTTCTCTTCTTAGTCCTGAAAGTTCCTTTCTTTCTGCCTTTTTTCTTCTCAGACGATATTGTAGACTCCCAATCGTTTCACAAAGCATTGCTTAGCATTCCAAGATCAAGTGCCTATTTATAATAGTGTTCTGTGCATCCACCCTTTAACAGACATACATGTGTCCTACCACTTTGACTCAGTTCTTATCTTTTTAAAGGGGTGACACTCATGAAACTTTTAGTGTTGTGCCCCTAACTCTATTTCCCCCTGTGGATTTTATTGTGCAATTTTGTATAAAGCAGTGACTTTTAGGAATGCATGTGTCACATTATGGGCAGAGCTGATTATATATATTTACTACTGTGAGTCACAATAAAAAATGTTTGAAATTTAAAAACCTACCAACCAACCAATCAAAAATGAAAACAGCATTATATAGACTCATGGGTGATTTTCTCAAGATCTCTCTGCCATTAAGATGCCTATGTTATTCTAAATTAAGTGTAATTCCCACTAGACAGGGATAGAAATGAATGAAACAAACTCAAATGATCTTTGCTTAAATGTATTCATTTATCAAATATGTAAGTTACAAAATATTTTAAAAAATGAAGATTTTATAAATAAGTTGAATGACATTTTGGTTAAAAATTAATTTTCCACTTTGAGAAATTTAAGAGATTTTAAAAGACCATGACAATATGATTAAAATAATGTTCTAATTACTTCAAAATAAAACAAGGACCAACTTTATTATGCTACTGTCTAGGTCAGTGATGGCGAACCTATGACACGCATGTCAGAGGTGACACACGAACTCATTTTTTGGTTGATTTTTCTTTGTTAAATGGCATTTAAATATATAAAATAAATATCAAAAATACACATCTTTGTTTTACTATGGTTGCAAATATAAAAAAATTTCTATATGTGCCATGGCACCAGGTTTAGGGTTTTTCAAAATGCTGACAGGCCGAGCTCAAAAGGTTCGCCATCCCTGGTCTAGGTACATTATAAAGGATATACTTTAGCTCCATCTGCTGGAAATGTTAAGCAATTACCAGTTACCTTGCTCCCTAGTTCATCCATCTTTAAGGAAAAAACTTGTCTCTCTGTCCTGAATAATATTTCCAACACTTCACTACATCATGCCTTATAAGTTAAGTAAAAATATAAATATTATATTACCCTCAATGTTCATATGTGTATATATTTAATCTTCTTTTCTTATTATTTTAGATAAAGCATTTCTGTCTCTAGCTTCAGATATTGCAGAGCCAATTATACTTAACACCACTAACACCAGCCTCACGATCAGATTACCGTCTTCCAGGACAAACCTCACCTGGCATGGCATCACCAACCCAACTCCAACATACCTGGTTTATTACAAAGAAGTTAATGATGGGGAAAATGGCTCTGAACCAAAATATAGAATGCTGGTAAGATTGGAGCTGGTGGTCTTTGTCTTATTAGAAGATACTCTTTTTTTGATGTGAAATTCTTAGTCATCGTATTTTCCATAGCATTTTCTGGGATGTGCTATTGTGCAACCTGTTATAGCTGATTCATCAAAGCATATTGTGTCCAGTCTTCTTGTCTGGGAATAAGTTACACTTAAACAAACTTTATTAACGGACCAGTTGGTAGATCGCCAACAGTAACAATTTCCTGAGTGTCCTTAAAAGAACTGTATTTTTTGTCCTTCCTGGTTACCTAATTATCCCTAGAAAGTGATGCATCTGTGATTTTATGGCTCATCTAGCAGATTTTGGTTGAGGGGTAAGAAATGCATTTGACAGAGAGAACATTGCCGTATACCTCTGTCCTCCATAGCATATATCTAATATAAAAATTGTATATTTTTTTGTGATTTCCAGTATTTTGTGAAATGCCCCATTATGCAGGGGCTATGCTTTGATTTATCATTGTATTTCTAGTACCCAGCTTAGAACTTGATATTGTATAGGCATTCACTAGGTATCTCTCGAGTGAATAAATGAATTGGCATAATTCTTGGCAACACGGGCACTGGTGTTTTAGTTGTCCTTGTGATGAAATCATGTGTATCCTATATTTTGCTTTGTGCTACTTATTTAACCAAGTCAAAAAGTGAAATTGACCATCTCCTGTTTGAGGTTAACACAGTACACTTTGCCAGAAAATATAGCTGGTTCTTATGGCTTCCTTTATTTTGTCTGTTTTTATCTTTTTGACACATTTCTAAAGAGAGTTGTTTCAGAGGCAGCTTGGATCATGTGGCTGCCTAAGGCTGGGCTGTGGCACTGGACATGGCTATGAGAGCTCATGTATCTTGTCTTCACATTGACTAACATGCACCAAAGGCATGGTTCTCAACCTCGTGCACACTGGAGCTCTTAAAATCTCTTCATCCAGGTTTCCCCTCAGGCCAATTCAGTCAGAATCTCCGGAGGTGGGACCCAGAAATCAGTATTTTCTTAAAATTTCCAACATGATTCCAACCTGCAACCAAAGTTGAGAACCATTGACCTAAGGAAGGTCTTTTTACTTAAACTTTATTTCTGAGAATGACTAGATAATGTAGCTTAATCTTTTCTATTGTATTCATGTATGTATCACATCCTTCCAATGTCATTTTGCTGAGTTTCTAATGCAATGCCAATGAAATAGTGTCCTCCTCTGGGAATCTACCTTCTTATGTGAGATGAATATGTCACAAAATTGACTGAAGGCTGTCAGTCATTTAGCATTTATTCTTGTAGCTATTAAACAACTCAGGCCTGGGCAGATTAGAACAGTGAACATTGTCCTTCATGATCCAATATCTACAAATAAAAAATGTTGAAGTCTTTTAATATCTTATCACTTTGATTAAATAATTTCTCCCCATTTGTACAAAAAAATAAAAATCACATATTAATATTTGTAAATTAATTACAGGAATTTCAGGAGAGTATAGCCCTTATTGAAGGCTTACAACCATTTTCAACATATATGATACAGATCGCTGTAAGGAATTATTATTCTGATCCTTTGCAACAGTTACCTCTGGGAAAAGAGATTTTGGGGAAAACTAAAAGTGGAGGTGAGTTATGGGCTTGGTGTGGGATGCTAGAGTGGATTTGTACAATATATGTGATGTGTATGTAAAAAACAAACATATGTTTGTTTTTTACCTGAATATAAAGTCATCTTTATTATATGACCTTTTTAAGGCTTAATAAGGAAAATATATTGGTTGAAAAATACTTTGATGACATGATTTTTGCTCTAACACTAGAAGATGATAAATAATATTCCATCAAAATGAAAAGTGACGAGAAGCTGAAACATCAGCATCGATACTGTTCGCCCAAGAAACACAGTCTTTGCTCTCATCACACAGTGTCACCCTCTTCCCATATCTTCATAGGTCTGCACACGTGGTGGGATGGGAAGACCAAGCCTTTTCTCTATTTAAAGTAATATAACATATTGCCTTAAAGAAAATGGATCTAGAATCTATAAAGGTGTCCTTAGGGGTGGCAATTATTATGGGGTGATGCCATTTCTTTCAGATGTCTCTGATGAATTCACGAAAATCACCCCAATTTGGGTATTCATCATCACTGGCCAAATCCTGGAGCTAGAGTCAGAGAATGATTGGATACAAAAAAAGTTAAAGCAAATGCATCACCGCCCCCCTGGATCGCTGCAGCGCCCACCAGGGGGCGGTAGCGCCCACTTTGGGAATCACTGATTTAGTCATTCGGCAAAAAGAAGCCAGTCTTTCAGACAGCCGCTAACTTACCATTCTATAAGAGGCTGGCTTCCCTGAGGCACATCTGTCACTCATTCTGCTCACATGACATGACTGTTCCTCAACCAAAACTCCATCCCTTCCTTCCATCTCCCAGTGCCGTGATTGCAACATCCCTGGTCATGCGTTGCTCTGTGTTTCAGTACCAGAGGCCGTTTGGCTCATTAACACAACAGTGCAGTCAGACACCAGCCTTGTCGTATCCTGGAGAGAATCTCCCAAGCCAAATGGACCGACGGAGTCAGTCCGCTATCAGCTGGCAATTGCACATCTGGCCCGCGTTCCGGAGACTCCTCTAAGACAGAGTGAATACCCTCACGGAAGGCTTGCTCTCCTGGTTACTGGACTGTCCGGGGGGAAACTGTATGTGTTAAAGGTACAGCGAGGCTACTGGGTACTTTTACTGCCATTCTCCAGCACAAGGTTGTGAAAAGGTTTAGCCATTTTTGTTGTTACTGTTTTTACAAAAGGTCCTTGCTTGCCACGCCGAGGAAATGTGGTGTGCTGAGGGCCGCCCTGTCACTGTGGAAATGTTTGACACCCCAGAGAAGCCGTATGCCTTGGTTCCAGGCAACACCAGTTTGCAGTTGGATTGGGAGGCTCCAGCTAATGTGAACCTCATCAGGTTTTGGTTTGAACTCCAGAAGGTAGATCACACCGTACACTTTAATGCAAACTCTTCTTTTATGCTGCAGAATAAGTTGGAAGCTCTTTTGCATATCTCTAGAGCAGTGGTTCTTAACCTTCCTAATGCCACGACCCTTTAACACAGTTCCTCATGTTGTGGTGACCCCAATGATAAAATTATTTTCGTTGCTACTTCATAACTGTAATTTTGCTACTGTTATGAATCGTAATGTAAATATCTGATATGCAGGATGTATTTTCATTGTTACAAATTGAACATAATTAAGGCATAGTGATTAATCACAAAAACAATATGTAATTATATATGTGTTTTCTGATGGTCTTAGGCGAGACTGTGAAAGGGTCATTCGACCCCCAAAGAGGTCGTGACCCACAGGTTGAGAACCGCTGCTCTAGAGCATTCTCTATATAAATCAACAATCTATTTGACCACATTCATTGATTCAGCTTTGCCATCTAGAAGCTGTGAACTGTCTAGACTAATTTCTGATAGGAAGAATTCCCAGAGAGATTAGTTTGCTCTTAAACGGCTCCATGTAAAAGGGTATAAATATGGTTTATGGATTTCATAATACTTTACTTTGTTTAAATGTTATCAGCATTGTTCTCTGGTTTAAAGTCCATAGCAATTTGGTATCTTCTATAAAAAAAAAAAAAGAGGAAAGACATATAGAAGCACAAAAACAAAACATGTTTAGAAAGGTGCTTTCAACCATTTAAGGCTAAATAGCAACAGGAGAGAAGTAAGATATAAAACCATTTGACCTTGGCATATAAACTGTAAGTGTTCCTCATCCACAAATCTTCGTGCTTTAACCAATAGAAAGGCATTCACTGAGTTGTAAAATATCAATTAATCTAATTACTTCACTGCTAAGGAAAAGTTTAGATTGATTTTATATTGCTACAGTTAGAATGGATTATTACATTTTTATAATTGCTACGTTTCATTTTCATCATTGTATATCCACGTGTTCACATTTATAAAGAATGTCTTGTTCAGTGGTAACTTAAAAACAAATCAGTATAGTCATGGCCTCATTTTTCTTTAAAAATGAAGTTGCTCTCAGGATGATTTTTAGAGTTTACTACATAAGATTATTTTATGACCTTGTACTTTTATATAAAAACTATGAAATATGTGACACAACAGTGAATGTTGACTTGACAAAACCAAAGGCCATACTTTAATGGGACTTCTTCCACTGAGCATTTTTATGATGATGTGTTGCCTATTTAAAAAATGATCTTATAAAAATGCAGTTAAATTGGAGAAATTAGAAATCACTTTTATTTTTTGACATCTATCTAAGTAAGCTTAATGCAGTTCAGTTTAAAGTCAAGAGGAGGGAGATACAGCTCATTTCCCAGATCAAAGAGATGAAATGGGAAGGACCTTGGAGATGATGATCTCTAGCCTCTCATTTTACTGATGAGAAGTCAGAGACCCAGACAGGCGCCAACATGAGTCAGATCTCCCCAGACAGTCAGCAGAGGACCCCAGGTGACTCATTCCTCGGCAGTGCTGCTTGGGTGCTGTCCATAGAAGGAAGAGGAGTCATTAAGCCACCCAACTCCTCAACATTTGGAGAGAACATGGCTAGGGACTGCCTGGTTCAGTCCTCATGACTTTCATGCTACGCTTTTTGTTTCAAAACTCCTTGTATTCTTACACTTGCTCAACACAGGTTTCAGACAGACCACTTAAAAATCATGAAGCTTAAATTGTCTGATACAGTAATTTCTACACGTGTGACCCTCTGTAGATACTAATTGATGAGCACGGTAGAAGGCTATATTCTGAGAGGGTTAATGAGTGATATCTAGTCATAAAGTTCGTTCTCTTTTGAGCCTACCTTATAATAATAGGACAGCTGGGGATGAATCTATAACTCTATACTGAAACTCTGAGGCAGGTGATAAGGGTGAATACCTATCTTTTTAATTAATAATTTTTTTAGAAAGGAAACAAGGAGACAAAGATAAACTTGTAGTCTCTCTCTTTTCTATCAAAAGTTCCTTACGTAGAAAATGAAAGAATTTGAGCACAAAGCTAAATTTCTACCTCGGGCTTAAATTTCATAGATTTTTAAAAATCATAACAGTCTAGAGAAGAAGAACATATTTGATTTAAGACTTGAGAAAAAGAAGTAATTTTGCTTTGACAATTTTTTTATGGAAGCCCATTAAAACTGTGTTTTCCTCAGTTATCTAGGGAAATCCCTACCAGAACCAAATATTTTTGAAGTTCCAGTCTCTGAGACATTATAGTCTGCACCAACCCCCACCCCCTCCACCAAATAATTTGAAAATCCTTCTGTGGTTGCCTCCACCCCTGCACTTGTAGGCCTCAGACAAAGGAAGGGTCTGACTGTTGTGATTTACCGGGGTAGCCCGGGGCATCTCGCCAAGTTTGTGGTCTGTCCAAACCATTTGTTGCTGTCGGAAGGCTGATACCCTACAGTTTTCCAGTAGCCCCCTTGGCTAAACATCTTCCTGATATTTCAAGGAGCTGTGTTAATTTCTAGATGGTGTGGAATGTTGGGCCACCTAAACTATTCACTTAAGGTCATTACTATAGCAGATCACTAAGGAGGCAGGACCACAAAGGGCTAGAATTTTGAGCCAGTTATTAACCAATCTCTCTCTCTCTCTCTCTCTCTCTCTTTCTCTCTCTCTCTCTCTCTCTCATAGGTTCAGAGTAAATGTTATGGATCCAATGTCTTGATGGGATTGATACATTTATATGTTTGTCAGGCAATGTCCCTGACATGAGCATTTCTATTTTTTTCTCAATCCTTTCATTCCCCATTCCCGTTTCTTTATGTAACAAGGTGGTCTGCTTCTTGAAAGGCCTATAGATAATCATTCCTGAGTAGAAAACTAATACAAAGTGTCTGTCCAATGAAATGGCATGGCCTTGGAGTGCTAAGTGAAAAAGGAGATGTAAAGCAGGTTTATTTATGGAAGCTGACCTTCGTAGGAAACTACTGGAGAAAATACACTAAGAACCCTTGACAAAATGCCACCTGCCATGTCTCTTCCTGTTTGCATGTTGAAAAAAATCGCCATTTTCAAATAATGACGTTAAGGGTCCAAATACGTGGAGTTTTAAAAAAGTAATGTCACAAAGAAAGAAGTTTAAAATTAGTAAAATCAAAGACCCAGTATCTAAAGCAGCGGTTCTCAACCAGTGGGCCCTGACCCTTTTGGGGGTCGAACGACCCTTTCACAGGGGTCACCTAAGACCATCGGAAAACACATATATAATTACATATTGTTTTTGTGATTAATCACTATGCTTTAATTATATTCAATTTGTAACAATGAAATTGGGGGTCATCACAACATGAGGAACTGTATAAAGGGTGGTGGCATTAGGAAGTTTGAGAACCACTGATAAAGAAAGTAAAATTTCCTATATTTAACTTCTAACCTGGCTACTGATGGTGGGCAAAAATTTTCTTCTCCTGGGGATGGAGTCTTCCTTTGTATAAAAATAAGCAATGCTAGTGTGATGTCTGAAAAAAGTTTTGGGAAGAAAAACTAAATGTCTTAATTCATAACTCAATGTGGACTTCTTCACAGAATCAAAACATGTAAAAATATCATTATTTTGAAATTAACAAATCTTTGGAATTGAAAGTATCATTGTTTTGGTCTATCACTCTCCCTCAGCAGTGAATTGGCATTTTTAGCCATCCTGATTCAATGCAGGCACCTACAATTAGAGGAAATAAGAAGTCAAGCTCTAAATTTCCTCCAATGATGCATAGTCAGAAATGTATGCCCCACCTTAGACTTATCCTAAGAACTATTATTCATGTCAGTTATAGCTGACTGTGAAAAATAAGATGGCTGTGTCTGGTAGGCATGATGTTTGGGGTCAAACATAAAGAAACACTTATTTTTTAATAGAAAATAAATTTTATTTAAAGTTTCATTGATTGCCTTGGTTTGTGAATTTCTGTGTTTAAGAAGGTTTTCTTAAAGAAACAAAAAATGTTAATTGAGTCTTCCTTTTCTAGTGGAAGTACAGTGAGTTTTACCACGTGAAAGCTTCGTGCAGCCAAGGCCCTGCTTATGTCTGTGACATCACAGATCTGCAGCCGTACACTTCTTACCATGTCCGAGTAGTGGTGGTTTACAGGACAGGAGAAAACAGCACCTCACTTTCAGAAAGTTTTAAGACCAAAGGTGAGTCTTAACATACAGCACTGAGAAAACCAAACCCTATAAGTTTCCCAATTATTTTCTCAGCACTTATTTCACCAATCCTAGAGGCTGTCATTTTTTTCTTAAAAGAGTAAATTACTATTTCTAAAACTTGAGTGAAGAAATTAAAGAGTTAGGAGTCCTTATAGGCAGTAATGAATTAATACTCACCTGGTCTTGCAAGATCCTGAACAGGGCAAATTATTTCACTTTTCAGTATTCGGATTTCTGGTCTAGCTATATTTTGCAGCAAGAACTAAATGAAAACAATGTTACTGAGTGTACAACCCAATATTTACTTACTGATGACTATAACCACATTAAGATTTTAAAAAATCTAAAAAGTATATTAAATCCACTAGTGTTCTAAAAGGTATACCATAACACCAAGTTGATCTTATAAGAATCAAGGGAGAATGTACTAAAACTTACAATATTTTCTTTTTGTATCACTTATTTCAGACCAAGCTAAGCTATGTTACTCTTATCATGAATTTATCACTAGTAAAAATGTCAGATATTCATTAAAAAATATGCACTTATATGAAAACTAGAGGCCCAGTGCATGAATTCATGCAAGAGTAGGCCTTCCTTCCCCCGGCTGCCGGCACCGGCTTCCTCTGGCATCAGGGACCCGGGCTTCCCTGTGGCTGTCAGCAGACACCTGGGACCCGGGCTTCCCTCGCAGACCCAGCTTCATCCAGAAGGAATGAAGGACATCCAGAAGGACGTGCGGTCTAATTAGCATATTATGCTTTTATTATTATAGGTATTTTATTTCCTCTTAGTAAATACAGTCTATAAAAATATGTTGTGCAGGATATTTTATATTTCTAACATATCAATCAGTATTTTCTTTGTTTCCAAAGCTGGAGTCCCAAGTAAACCAGGCATTCCAAAATTATTAGAAGGGAGCAAAAATTCAATACATTGGGAAAAGGCTGATGATAATGGAAGCAGACTTATGTACTATATACTTGAGATAAGGTATGTCTATTGGCAAAAGTGCTTTGTAAACTACAAAGAGCTAAGGTGTTATTAGATCAAAATTAACAATATTTCTCAATATGTATTTTATAAATAAATGTGAAGGATCTTTAAAGACCGTGAATGTCTCATTATCTTTCTTACTCTGGTCCCAGCAGCTTATTGGCACTCCAATTATAAAGCAGATCTCAAAAAGTGCTTGTCAAAACTTTATGGAAATAATTCTATAATTGGCACATATAATTTATATTTACTTAATATCTATTCTTTTCAAGAAGCTGAGCTGATGTTTCGTGTTAGATGGTGGTATGCATGTACATTTCAGGTGTTAATTTGTTTTAGCAAGATGAATAATATATAGGGAAAACTGTCAACGAGCTAGGTATTTTTCAGAACGTAAAACCAGGAACAGATCACGCAGGACTCTCTATCCACTGTGAAGATGACGGTTTGCAGCGTGTTCCTGGGGCCTGAAAATGTGCCTTTGATGTAAACTGATCAGCTGATGAACATACGCAACCTCAGACCCAGACAGGATGAGGAGCTCTCTGAATCATAACTGGCTCAGATGAACTGATTTCATGCCAGCTCGAAGGGAGAATTTCAAATTCCATAGACACGCCCCTCACGGGACTATGAAGCCATCTTTTAAGAAGCTCCAAGGACAAGTCACTTCCATAATTATAGTCCTGGCTATTTGAGCTTTAGATCTATTTTTGCTTCATCATGCTCTGGCATTCCCATAACCTTAAAAAAAATTTCCTGCTCATGCTAGAGGAGTGCATTAACCATATTTCTAGCTGAAACCTTCTTGAAATTTCTGTTACTGTTGTTCACACAGAGTGAAATACATTCTGACCTGCAGAGCTGTCTTGGTGGCCTGTGACTGTGATTATGTCCACCAGTCAGGCATCACCATGGCCTTGAAGGACCCTTTTAACATGTTTCCCTCAGTAACACCTTAAATGCATAGCTCCACAAATACTTTGCATGTTCTTGCCCAAGTTTCTACTCTCTGGACAGGGGCTGTGGAGGAAAGAATGAATTGCTTTACCTTTAGTATCTCAAAGTAACTTCTTCAGTCAGGACACTCTCATGTACCCTGTGTACTTGCTGACAGTATAGTGGTAGTGATAGTGCCAAATACATGAACTTGGGAGCTGAGCAGACTGTGTTAATTCCCTAGGGCTGCCACAACAAAGTACCACCAACTGGATGGTTTAAAACCACACACAATATTCTTTTACAGTTCTGGGGACTAGAGTCTAAATTCAAGGTGTCAGGTCCAGCTGGTGTGGCTCAGTGGTTGAGCATGGACCTATGAACCAGGAGATCACAATTCAGTTCCTGGTCAGGGCACATGCCTGGGTTGAGGGCTCGATCCCCAGTGGAATCAGGACCAGCTTTTACCTCCCAAGTCACTCAGCAGGTTTTCTCAGCCTTGGATATGACATACAAACTCCAACTGGCATAGTAATTAAACACTGACTATAATTAATGATTTGGTATGTGCTAGGGATTTTTTTCTACATCCCTTTTTGTTAATCCTCACTAGAGGATATTTTCCCATTGATTTTTAGGGAGAATGGAAGAGAGAGGGAAAGACAGAGAGCAACATCGACTGGTTGCCTCCTGCAGGAGCCCTAACCAGGGCCTGGGCCAGGGAGGAGCCCGCAACCAAGGTACGTGCCCTTGACCGGAATCAAACCCGAGACCCTTTGGTCTGCAGGATGGCACTCTATCCACAGAACCAAACTGGGTAGAGCCATAAAAATACATTGAAAAATAAAATAAAATCAAGGTGTCAGTAGGACTATGCTTCCTCTGAGGATTCTAGGAAAGAATCTTTTCCTGCCTCTTGTTAGCTTCTGGCGATTGCTGCCAATCCCTGGCATTCCTTGGCTTGTAGATACATCACTCCAGTCTCTGGCTCTGTCATCACATGGCATTCTCCTTCTCTTTGTGTGTGTCTGTGCCTAAATCTCTGTCTTCTTAAGAGGGCATCAATCATTATGTTTGAGCCTATCCCAATCCAATATGCTCTCTTTAACTTTGTTACATCTGAAAATACCCTATTTCCAAATAAGGTCATATTCACACGATCTGGGTTGGCCTGAATTTTGGTAGGACACTATTTAACCCAGTACACAGACCATGTTTAACTCCTTGCTCTATTCCATTTATAAACTTAAATGTTCTCATCTGGAGAAAAAAAAAAGGGATAATAATATCTACCTCTATAGGCTGTTGTGAAGACCCAGTGAAATGAAATGACATGAAAACCAGCAGTATTGTATGTTGTAAATAAAAGATGTTCAGCCAATGTCAGAATTCTTTCTTCTCTTTCTCAATGGCCAATAGCTGTGAAGAGCCATTTTATAAATGTTTAAGTGTCTCATTTTTTTTGGGTCAGAATTGTTTGGGTTAACCAATGAAATTGCCAATGCCTAATATGAGACTTCACAAAATGTACAAAAATACCATGTCATCAAGCTTCACTCAGGATGATCCCTAGGACCTTCAGCTCCAACTCGATTCTCTGGTCCTCCTGATACACTTCCCACCGCCTGTCCCTCACAGGCCAGCCTTTGCTGTCACTGTTTCTCTTTGGGACAGCTGCTCAGTTAGTAGGAGCAGAACTGGCTTCCGTGATCTATCCCCATGCGTATTGTGGGTTGGTACCAAGTCCTAAAACTGCTGTGGTCTGAAGAGTTTCAGACTTCTTACCGTCAGAGAAGACATAACTGAAAGGCCTTTAGCCTGTGATTCCAGCCTTCCAGCTACATCTTTTAAACCCAGCTATTGTGCTCTTTCCATGTTTCATGTGAAGAATCATGTGGATTGAATTTGAGGTGAGGGTAGGCCAATACCAATGGCAACAACAAAACTTGCAACTTCAGACATAATAACTTTGGTAGCTGAGCTATTGTACCTTCCTGATCAGTTGTATGTTTTTTTGTGGTATTTTTATCTGGATATGGTATTTGGAGACTATAGATATAGAGGCTGAGAAATAAGAAAAAGAAAAAATTTCCAATAAAAAATTATGGAACAATTGTCTTATGTGTTTGGAATTCTGAAGAAAGTTTATGCATTCTGATAGTAGGAAAAGTTGCCTCAGCTTTCTCTTGGCCATTGATTATTCATTATTTTCCTGATGGGCTGAGTTGGTTGGCTCCATTCATTGCTGAGATGACTTTATAAGACTCTGCTGTGTTCTGTGGCCAAACCATGTGACAGGAATGAGATCAAGGGTAAAGTGTGCAATAGGAGATGCTCTGGAGTTCTGGCATTAAAATGATCTATGAGTGTCTAGAAACAACACATATGTTGTCTCATATATTTTCTATATTCATGGTTTTGCTCTTTCTTTTGCAGAAAGGGTACTTCAAATGATTCACTGAACCGGAACTTAATGTGGAAGATGGCGTTTAATGGATCCTGCAGCAGCATTTGCACATGGAAGTCCAAAAACCTGAAAGGAACATTTCAGTTCAGAGTAGTAGCTGCAAATACTCTGGGATTTGGTGAATATAGTGGAATCAGTGAGAATATTTTATTAGCTGGAGGTATATTACCATGTCTGCCTACTAACTTTTCACACATACTAACTTATTACACAAAGGTTCAGAGATAAAGATGGTGCATTCTTAACATTAGCAATAAATTGGGTGACTGTAAAACTTATCATCTCAACTACCAAACTATTCATTTCATCTGATATGCTCTTCTTAAAACACCAATACCCTCATCATTTTTCTCCTCAGTGATAATCAGCTAGTCCTTAATGTCACCTCATCAATCCATGCTCCTAGGACCTACATAGACCCCCAAGGCTGTCCAGAGCCTGGTCTTTGCCCAGCCTTATTATCCTATTCCTGGTACTCTCATCTTCTGTACAAGAGGCCCAAAGTTATACTTTGTCTTTTCCCCAATATTTCCATCTTCCGTTGTGCTCTATTTCATCTTTCTAATCACATAGGCTAGAAGTCTCAGTACCTCCTCTAGTCAGTCACCAAGTTCTATTGATTTGCTCTCTTGACTTCTGTCTGGTAAGTTCCCGTCTTCCTATTTCCGCCCTGGCTTTCCTCAGTCAAGCTGTCGTTTCTTGCCTGTGCTCTTGGCTTACCCACATGCTGACCGTTAATCTAGCCAAAGCACAGCTGGACCGCTCGCCCCCTCTCAGAAGCGCCCGAAAAGGCTCTCATTCACGGTCTTCAGGACCATGTACAAACTTTTGTGTGGGCATTTAAGGCCTTCTGTAGTTTCTCCTCTTTCCCAATATTTACCCTTTCTAGCCACATGAGACTATAAAAAGCTTTTATGACGCTAGCTCTCCAGCCTTTGTTTCCTTTGGCCTGGAATGCAGGTTCCCACAATCTGCCATTCACCCCATTATCTGGCATTTCCTTCCTGTCACTTTCTGTCAATTGAAATTCTTTGCATCCTTCAAGGCCTAACTTAAATGAACCCATCATGATGCTTAACTGATACTCCTCAGGCAACTAAGTGATTATATTTTATGCCCACACAGCCCAATAGTCTATATAAAACTTTCATCGTTCTTTTTTTTATTTTTTATTATAGTTAGTTATCTGGCTAAGATTTCAGCAAACTCTTTTCTGAAAAGAACCAAATAGTAAATACTTTAGGCTTTGCAGGCTGCATCTGATCTCTGTAGCATATGTTTCTTCTTCTTTCCTTTTAAAAATAATACTTTAAACATCACTCTTAGTCCCTGGGCAGTGCAGAATGAGGCTGTGGCCAGATTTAGCCCACAGGCCATAGTTTGCCAAGCTCTGTCTACATGTTTATCTTTTCTTCTCAACTGAAGCTACCGAAGAGAAGGTACCATGTGTTCATGTTTATATTCCTCAGTTTAATGTCCATGGAATTAAATGTGTATGAAGATGTTACAGAATAATAATAATCCCAACTATATACTATAAGATGAAGACTGAGACTTCTTGTCCCAAATTTGTTAAAAGGATTATCCATGTTTTCTCGATCACTTTAAAGTAGAAACCTGGGTGGGTACACCCCTATGATGTATTGGTAAACTGGCTCTTTGGAAAAACACACATAAAAAACATTGATTTTTGATTACCCAGGATGTAAATACTCTTACCATAGATGATGTCAAGCTACATAGTTTAACTGGCTCCTAAAATATCATTGGAGCTAGTCTGGTATATCAGGTAGATCACCTAGGCCAGTGATGGCAAACCTTTTGAGCTTGGCGTGACAGCATTTTGAAAAACCCTAACTTAACTCTGGTGCCGTGTCACATATAGAAATTTTTTGATATTTGCAACCATCGTAAAACAAAGATTAATATTTTTGATATTTATTTTATATATTTAAATGCCATTTAACAAGAAAAACCAACCAAAAAATGAGTTCGCATGTCACCTCTGACACGCGTGTCATAGGTTCACCGTCACTGACCTAGACAGTCTATTCTGTGAATTAATTTCTTTTTCTCATTTATTTCATTAGATGGTTTTTGGATTCCAGAAACAAGCTTTATACTTACTGTTGTAATTGGAATATTTCTGGTTGTTATAATCCCATTGACCTTTGGTAAGTAAAAAAAATTTTTTTTAAATAGGTAATACATAAGTTATTTAATTATAATAATTGATTTATTTCTTAGTTTATTTAATCTCCCACATGAAATAAATTCATAAAATTTACAATGTTACCTTTGGCTATAAGTTCTTAACCATTATCTTTTGTGAATTGTTTTCTGGATCAAAGAGTAACTATTTTATGAAAACTATAGCTATATTTACACTTCATGGTATATTTTAGATAAAACTACTTGCAAGAACACTGACTTTAACTTTCTTTAAAATAGTGTTTGTTTCTGATTGACTAAAACAAGTGTTTTTTTTGTGTGTGGTGTAAAGTTTGAAATAAATGAGAAATTACTTTGGGTATATAAAAAAAAGGGTAGGATTAGTGCAAGACCAGTGGCAATCCTTGCTTGGGTTAGTCTGGGCTCCAGGCAGACAGCCTGGTTTGGAATGAGGAGGGCCTCTTTTACAGAAGATCCATTTCTGGCCTGTAGGATCCACTCTCACTTTCAGATGTCTGCCTTGCTTATTTCAAATCCCTGCTCATTTATAAATGACGAGGGAAACAGAATTAGATTAGGTAGATAGAAAACTGGCCATTTCCAACTATTCTTTTTATACTAATGTGCTAGTCCTAAAAGGCCTTTTAAAAAATAATTTGGTTTAATGCTGAGAAAATACAGTGACAACCCCAAAGGACTTTGTCAAATATTGGGCCCTATAGGGTTATTATAGTGATCACACATTCTGATTCATTCTTATTGTTTCAGCATAAGCATCAGTAGCACTTTCTTTCAGTCCCTAAAATGCCTTGTTTTGGATTACAAGATATATGATCATCTTATTATTAATATGATGTGCCTCAGACATGCTAAAACATTATAAGAAAAGCATGATATTTACCAGAAAAGAGCACTCACATACATATTCGGGAAATTGTGGCTTTTTTGCATAAATAAGGAAAAATTAGAAGAGAACATTTAAGGAAAATTTACACACATATAGTTGAAATCTCTCAGTGTAGAAATATTTCACTCGTGTTCTAAATCTTTATTTTTCCCCAAACCGATTGGAATCATAAGCTATTGGAGAGCACACTGAAACTTGAATTGAAATTTCTTATCACAGATTCCACCCAGATAATATATGGGACTCCTTCAGCTAACTTGGAAAGCTAAAAATTTCATCTGACCCTGCCAGGATATTAACCTGTGGTTCCAGGGAGTCTAAGCATTGCACAGCTGATGTTTGTGTCACTAAGCCAGCCCCTCCAGAGTTACGCGTATGACTGCAGTATATTTGGCAGTTGGCATATAGGCTTGACTGCTTGTCTGCTTTCCTACTGGGAAGGAGTCGTTCATGAAGAATCTTCCATCTGACCTTTGCTTGCCTACTTGTACATCACCATTGTTTAAACTCCTAACTCTGGTGCGTGAACACGAGATAATTTTAGACAACCTATTATGCTTTTAAGACATCCTAAGGATATCTGACTTTCTCAGGCCTTAAAGGTCTTTATTCTATTTGGAACTCAAACAGAGTTTTGAGTACAGCTAAGCTAATCTGGTTATTTAGGAAACGTGCATGTGGTTTTACTAGTAGGGGTGTGGAAGTGCATGAGAAAAGACTGAGTTCTTAAAATAATGAGAAGTAGGAATTGTTTTAAAATTTGCATTGTGCTGAGAGCTCTCATCAGTCATACTTATAAATATAAAATTGAAACAAGGGTTTTAAAATAAGCATGGACATCTTTTGCTGTGGGGAGCAGTCACAGCTAATGTGTAACATCAGCCATATGCTGGGAGCAGAGGGAAAGATAAAGTAGTAAACTACAATTCCTGACCTCGGGATTTGCCATTTAATGAGGGAGGTAAGACCTATCTGTGTGAAAAGATAAATAGTGATATATGTGTTAAGCAACAACAAAAGGCAATGGATGGTACATGAAATACACAAGACAGTGACATAGAAGTGCTTAGAGACACCACTAGTCTTATACGTTCAGAGATGAGAGATCAGTAGAGGTTGCAGAAGTCTTGTAAGGTGTCACTGAAAATGGGGGACATTAGCATGGCTTTTAAAAATGAAGAGGGGTATGAGAGCATTTCAGGTTTGAAAAACTGCATTAGCAAAAGTACTTAAGATCTACCCCTGTGTGGTCCCTTAGATGGAATTTCACTTGAATAAAAGTCTAACCTGTTAAATACAGAAGCTACTATAGAATAAAGTTCAAATTTTTCATGATTATCTAACAAAGCATACTTGCTGTTTTCAGCTTCTGAACCAATATTCTAGGGTAGATGGATGATCTTATTGACACAATTGTAATGTGATCTATAAAGATATCATTTATTTATAATTTATATTTATGATTATAAAATTTGCTCATTGTATGAAGAAGATAATATAAATCATCCATGATTTCATGACTAGGGAGGACCACTGCTAATATTTGGTGGGGTCCATTCCAATAAATTTTCTCTGTATTTGAATATATATATATATATATATTCAAATGGATATATACTCTGATACTCTGCATTTTCAAAAAGTGTGCCATTATAGCCATTATATTGAAAGCACTCCTCAGGTTTACCGAGGAGTATAACCTGGACATATCTGGACTCAGAAATTAATTTGTTTCACTAATAATTATTATTATGCCAGGGTGTTTTGCTTTGACTTTGCTTTATGAATGATTTTGAGAAATAAATTCTGATATTAAGATACTTCAACTCCTTTATAACAGCAATAAGAAATACATTAAATGTTACTCTGATATTCGATGAAAAGTGAGGTAGTATAAACTCTGCGTTTTTCTATGGCCTGCTACCTAAATTTAATTAGTTTTTTATCATTATTATGGGCATACTTTTCCATTAAATTCTATTTTACCAATGGTGTTCTTATGGATAAATACTTAAAGTGTATTGTTAACATATCCTAAAAGAAAAGGATGCAATACTTTGTTTTGTAAATTATGTCTTTTTTTCTGTATAGTCTGGCACAGAAGATTAAAGAATCAGAAAACTCCCAAGGAAGGGCTGACGGTTCTCATAAACGAAGACAAAGAGTTGGCTGAGCTGCGAGGCCTGGCAGCTGCGGTGGGACTGGCTCATGGCTGCTGTGCGACACGGTGAGTACCTGGGGCATCGTGAGGGGGCAGCTAGATGAAGGGCAGGCAGGATGACCTGGGCTTATGTCTACCCTTCTGTTTCAGGAGTTGTATGGTGGTTGTCTACACATGCTCTTTAAGATAGATGAGTATTGAACTTCTGTTGTCATCAGAACTAAAAAAATATTTAAATGTCTGTATACGACATTATACTATGGTCCATACAAAAGGGAATTATATAGTCATAGGCCTTGCAATTTGTAACTTAAGACATGGAAATGAGGGATTTGGAGTAGACACAGAAGTGATCTAAATTACCTAGCTATTCAGAGGTGACTTTTCCTTGAGAAATACCCAGCACACCTAACACTCAAGATTCTCCTTTAAAAACTCAAAGCAGATGCATTTCTCTCCTCATAATATTCCAGGTGAGAAGCTTGGCTTCTTAAAAGTTAACCTGGTGAAAATGGAGTTGATTTTTGTGGTCATAGTAAATTTTGTTTTATATAAGAGATCAGGTGTGCGAACTAGTTAAAGTAAATAATTTTTAGCTCATAAATCCAGCTGTATGTATTACTAATTTGTAATCACTTTTTATACAAACTGGTAGCCTGAAGGAATTAATTGATAACTATAAAAAAACAAGCTACAGCAAAAAAACCTGAGGCAATGCACACCCAGCCATGTGTCTGTCAAAATGAAGGTGCCTATTAGCAAAGTGACAGGGTCTGCCTGGGTTTTAGAATAGGGAAGGAATATTCTGGATGGTGGAATAGGGAAGGAATTGAAACGCAAAATCCCACGTCACTTTATCACATAGAATGCACTTCAGTGTTGCGAAACCAGGAGATTTCTTTCTCATACGCTTTCGAACACTAACACCAACACCAACTTGTAAACCATCTGTATTTTGGGAGACCAAGAATATTGCTATTTTCTAGTACTCTTCCGACCCAAGAGGAGATTGAAAGTCTTCCTGCCTTCCCTCGGGAAAATCTGACCCTGCGCCTCCTGTTGGGAAGTGGAGCCTTTGGAGAAGTGTATGAAGGGACAGCAGTAGACATCTTAGGAGCTGGAAGCGGAGAAACCAAAGTAGCAGTGAAGGTAGCGTGGTTTTAACTACTTGACATGTTATGTCAGCCTATTTACATAGATTTGCATGGGTGCAACTATAATGAAAGATGAGTGATCTTAACTGAAAAGAGAACTAGAAGGTAGGAGACTATTCACGGCTATAGAAATCACTTTTTTTCCCCCTTCCATTTCCTACATAAGCTCTGAAATTAATACTAATCTCTATGATTACTAATTAGTGAAGACCCAGCAGTTTCCCCCTTCAAAAATACTGTAAGAGAAGTGAGGTTGTTAAGTACATTCTCAAGGTAGGTAATAGGGCAGATTGTAAGTATTTTAGACTTGTGGCCATAGCGTGTCAGTTGCAACTATGCCACTCTATCATTCAGTATGCAAACCAATGTGCGTGATTATGTTCCAGTTAGACTTGATTTATGAAAACTGAAGTTTAAATTTCACATAATTTTTATGTGTAATGAATTATATTCTTTTTTTTTTACTTTCTTCAACCATTTAAAAATATAACATGTCAATTATACCTCAATAAAGCAAGGAAAAAATGTCACAACTATTATCAGATAGCACGCTATACAAAAATAGGTGACAGGGTGGAACTGGTCCACAGGCTATATTTTGCTGACCTGTAATTGAGCAACATCTTCATCACAGCTTGTTAGGAATCTATTGCTTTGAGGGTGGGCATATAATCAGAAAAGTTGGCCAAATTTTCTCAACTGGTTTAAATAAGTGTTTATTTTTCTTACGTAACAGGTGACTACTGGCTTTAGTGCAGTGCCGGTAGACCTGAAATTCCCTTGACTTTGTACATGTGTGTTGCCTCATGGTCCCAAGGTGGTTGCCAAGGAATCAGGCATCACATCTTCATTCAGGCCAGAACACTCATCGACCAGAACTGAGCCATATTTGCAAAAGAGGCGGGAGAGTTACAGGCCATGATTTTCATGATCTCAGACCAGTTGCCTGGGTCTGGGCACCTTGCCTCTAAGAAACAAATTAGGGTATTGTTAGCAAGGAACCCTGGGAAACAGATGTTGAATAGAAAACTCTGAAAATTAAGAAATTACCTTAAGCACGAAATTTGTTCTCTTTTTAAATTTTTTACATTTGGAGAAACTTTGTGTAAATAGTACTAGCTAGGTCTTTTATCTATCAGATATTTCACTTAAATACTTCCAATAACAGGAGCTGTCTTTTGAATAGGTTTACATAGTACATTCACACGTACTATCCATTATTTATTTTGTAATTTCAGGATGGATATTATAAAACAAAACAAAGATTATCTCCATTGATACACTGAGCTCACAGAAATGTCTGCTATACTGATTCTTGACTCGTTTTTATGTTGCACAGACTTTGAAGAAGGGCTCCACAGACCAAGAAAAGATTGAATTCCTGAAGGAGGCATATCTGATGAGGTATCAGGGCAGCTCTGAAATAATTTTTGCTTGGTATGGGTAGGAAGCCTTTACCTCTGATTTAACATTCAAAATCACCTGACATAGTAAATCATGCCCCAAATGAGCGTGGCTGAAGTCTAAATGGAATTATGCCTGTAATGACAAGTATTTTATAGAATCCAGTCTCCAAGTCTGTGCACAGGCCGTCCTCCAGCAAAAGGTTTTCCTTTTACCTTCAATAAAAAGTGTGTTTTGCAAGTGACACCTGAAGCTGATCAGCTTTAAACATGCTTATGGTCTTCTAAATACATGGGAATGGTTGGAGTAGACTGAGTAAGGGAGAGTTCTCTTAAGGACAGTGATGCCAATGAAAATATCCCTTGTCTTGGTAAACTTGACTTCAGTGTTAGAGTTAGTTGTTGAGCATGAAAACTGATGAAAGACATCTTAACGGGAAGACCTGGGGCAGTGGTTCTAGTTATTCGATTGGAATTTATTTGCTTTGACATCTTGAGGAAGCAGGTGTAGCCAAATTTGCCTGTCTGAATTGTCCCTCTAAAAAAGAAAGAATAGTATTTCATACTTGTGATGACAAAAAACGTAATGTTTTCAAATACCTTTTGAAGAAGGATATTAGTTCAAATTACTTTCTTTTCCAAAACACAAAATACTTAATAGAAACATGGTTTCTTTTAAAACACACGCTGTTCTGTCCATATGCACTGGCCACTAGGGGTTGCCATATTACCTCTGAAAGGCAAGAACACAGACCATCACTTGGAAAAAAGAGGCGTCCGTTTGTCAGAGAAAAATAAAATCAGGGGCTTTGATGGAAACTATAGATAATCAATTGCTCTATTCCGTGAAGGCCCTCAGCTAGGACCTCTGTCGCTGTCATGTCACCGGCCTGTCTCTTTCCACTTTTAGTAAGTTTAATCATCCCAACATTCTGAAGCAGCTTGGAGTTTGTTTGCTGAATGAACCCCAATATATTATCCTGGAATTGATGGAAGGAGGCGATCTCCTCACCTACTTGCGTAAAGCCCGGATGACAACGGTAGGAAATGGGCTCCCCAGTATTGATTTTATAAAGCAAATGCCCTATTCCAAGATTGTATTACAATGGAAAAAAGTAGAAACAAACAAACAAAACCAAGCCATCAAAATAATAAAAACGCATATTCAAAAACAATTTAATTATCAAATATCTGCTGGGCATTTATTATACAACTGTGAAGTATGTGGCTCTTGCTTTTATTTTATTTCATTATTTTTATTTTTTGTTAATCCTCACCCAAGGATATTTTCCCATTGATTTTTAGAGAGAGTGGAAGGGAGAGGGAGACACACACACAGAGAAACATCAATGTGAGAGAGACACATTGATTGGTTGCCTCCTGCACATGCCCCAACCAGGGCTGGGGATTGAGCCTGCAACAGAGGTATGTGTCCTTGACCAGAATTGAACCTGGAACCCTTCAGTCCGAGGGCCCAACGCTCTATCCACTGAGCTAAACTGGCTAGGGCACACTTGCTTTTAAGGAACTTGTCGTGTGGGAGGGAGGTAAGTCACATATAAATAACCCATGTAAGGTGGACAATGGAAGGACCCATTAGAGTGGAGTAGAGAGTCTACTGCTGAAGCACAGAGGAGAGAGAGATGATTTCCAGCTGAAGAGTCCCGGAAAGACTTTGTGGAGGAGAACCAATCAAGGTGGGAGACAGAAAACTCTCTGAAACTGCATGAGTTGTGAAAGGCTTTGGCCAGGGATAGACCTGGGTGGAGGTTCAGCATGTCCAGAGGGTTTAGCAAGAGATGATAGATGGTAGGCCACAGTAGCATCTGGAGTCAAGGAAGCCCAACAAGGGCTGGTGAGGCGTCCCCACAGGTTGTCACAGAGGCGGTCAGAAGCAAGTGATACTTAGGAATCCAGGTAGGCAGGCAGCATTCTGAAAATCTGCCAGCAGAGAATCCGGTGCTAGCCACAGGACTGAAGTTCAGGAGCAAGATTCTCTGTGAAGCCAGTCTTCACAAGTAGGGTAGGTTTTGCCAAGAGGAAAGCAGAGCTCCATTCACAGAGGAACAAATGAGCCAGTTGGGACACTCAGACACAGGCCATGAGGTTGGTACCTGGTGGGCCTGAGCAGGACTGCAGGGGACTGATTCTACGGAGTAAATTCCAGCCTAGCTCTCACACCGAGGTGTGGTTGAATGGGACCATGGCAATGCTGAGTCCCAGAGTATCAGGATTCTCCCTATTTTGGCGACAAGACCTGAGCTTGCTGGGCATGTAAAGCACTTAGGAACCCTTATCTATGAGGGATTGGGGGGTTTCAAGGTTGGGAACCATTACAGATGCTCAGTGGAAGATGTGGATAGAAATCAGGACTAAGGAGGGCATTCCATGAAACAGTGATAACAGGAATATTGAAGAGAGGTTGAGAAATGCAGAGCAGGTATGAAAACACGTCCAGTGTCCCAGTGTGACCCCAGCCCAGACTGTGAGAGGAGAAACTAGGGAAATAAATGGACATAAAGAGAGACTGGTGCAGCCTGGGGCTGCCATGGAGGTTGCACTCAGGAATCTGTAATAAATCCTACAGGCAGTGGGTCACAACGGAATGAGCTAATTAAAGCACAAGGAGGCTGGAGACGTGGGGAGTTTGGGAAGAGTCAGACAGGGATGCTAAAGGCCTGAACCAGGGTAATTGCGGGGAAATGGCAAGGGACAGAGTTGAAATCATTGTAGCCATACAGGCTCAATTTATTTGGGCTGGCTCTCTTAGAAGTGACCCTGAAAAAGAGTCTGTTTTGCTCATATGAAGAACAAACCCATTGTCATGACTGACACAATAGTGTGACCTTGGGCAAATAATTAAACTGGTGAGCACTGATTAAACTATCATTATTTCTGCTTAGGCGAGCAGCTGCTGTTTATTAAGTGCTTTTTATATACCAGCCAGATTACATATCTTATGTGAAAACCTACGAAGGCAGGCTTATTATTTCCACTTTACCCATGAGAAAGCTGCTGAGTGAATAAAGCAAAGTGAGCTAGAACAAAGCAAACTAGAGGCCCGGTGCATGAATTTGTGCATGGGTGGGGGTCCCTTGGCCTGGTCAAGGTCACACGAGTAAGTAACAGAATCAAGTTTCAAATCTTGGTCTGTCAGAACTAACGCCCTGTTTCCAACAAAAGTTCCATATTGCCTCTGCTTACTAAATGTAGTCTTTTTTATGTATATCTGGGTGGAAAGCATATAAATATAGTTCTTTTCCTCTTTGCTTGAATTCTTGCAACCATAACTAAAACTTTCTTTAAAATATCGTGGATATGTGTGCACATGCATATTTATGAAGCCATTTATACATACCTATGTATATGTGTAGTTTGTGCAAATTGGAAAAGTGCCTAATCTTTTTCATTTCTTACAGTTTCATGGTCCTTTACTCACCTTGGTTGACCTTATAGATCTGTGTGTAGATATTTCAAAAGGCTGTGTCTACTTGGAGCAGCTGCACTTTATTCACAGGTACAGTGATCCTGGATACAGGTTCCTATGGATATTGGCACATTAGCCATCTGTAGTTTGGGTAAAATATAGAAAACAAACACTTTCAGTCCTTTAAAATAGCAATAATTCTTTAAAAAAGTCTCCCTTTTCTACAGACCTGCTAGTATTACTTGTCTGATCTCTGGAACTGTATTATTATTATTATTATTATTATTATTATTATTAATTAAATATAGCTTTTGCTTTAGGGACCTGGCAGCTCGGAATTGCCTCGTGTCGGTGAAAGACTACAGTAATCCATCACGGGTAGTGAAGATTGGAGACTTTGGACTCGCGAGGGACATCTACAAAAATGATTACTATAGAAAGAGGGGAGAAGGCCTGCTCCCTGTTCGGTGGATGGCTCCGGAAAGTTTGATGGATGGAATCTTCACAACGCAGTCTGATGTGTGGTGAGCTTAATAGGCCACAAAGAAATGTGGGTAGAACTATCCAATGTCAGAGCTGGAAATGATCTTAAAAGGTCCTCTAATCTTTTTATTATTCTTATTACTAGAGGCCCAATGCACGAATTCGTGCCTGGGTGGAGTCTGGCCAGCCCAGCCCAGGCCCAAATTGGAGCGGATTGGGGCTGGGCCTGTTGGGAGGAGGAGACAGTGGGAGGTTGGCCAACTGGCCCACCTGATGGGGGCCCAATCAGGGCCAGGCCGGCTGGGGGGAGGGGCCGAGGGCAATTGGCCAGTGGGCCCTGCCTCCCATTGGGGTGGGGGGCCGATCGAGGGTCAGCAACCAGGGGAGGGGCTGTGGGAGGTTGGCTGGCCAGCCCCACCCCTGATTGGTGTGGTGTGGCTCATCAGGGGTAGAGCTGACTGGGGGAAGGGGCTTCAGGTCAATCAGGGTGGTGGGGGCTCATCAGGGGTGGGGCTGGCCAAGGGGAAGGGCCACAGGAGGGTTGGCTGGCCGCTTGCTTCGCCATCAATTAGCGTGGGAGATGCTGATCAGGGGTGGGGCCAGCTGGGTCGGTTGGCTGGCTGCAGTGGGCGTCATGGCGACAGGTTGTTCTGGTCCTTATGGTGTTCCAGTCGCTGGCTTTTTATATATATAGATTATTGTTGTTGTCAGTATTACAGATGTCCTCCATTTTCTCCCCCTTTGCCACCCTCGACCCTGCTCCACCCCAGGCCTTCACCACTCTATTGCCTGTGTCCATGGGCTATGCAAGTTCTTTGGTTAATCTCTTCCGCTCCCCTCTGAAATCTGTCAGTCTATTCCAGTCCATTCCATGTCTCTGGACCTTTTATTTTATTTTATTTTATTCTGGACCTATTTTGTTTGTCAGATTATTTTGTTCATTAGATTCCACATATAAGTGAGATCATGTGATATTTGCCTTTCTCTGACTGGCTTATTTCACTTAGCATAATGCTCTCCAGGTTCATCTATACTGTTGCAAGGGTAAGAGATCCTTCCTTTTTACTGCTGCATAGTACTCCATTGTGTATTGTTTTTAATGTGAGAAAACAGAAGACCAGATAGGTTTCAGTTTTCCGTAAGCTAAAGTGAAAGCTGGTGTCTAAAGGGGACTATTCCTGGGTCTCAGCAGCTTACATACCTCCCTCCAGTTGGTTTTGATCCTTTATCTTACTAGTGTACATGAAATAGCTACATTTATTTCAGGTATTTTATTACTCCCCAAAATGTAGAAGCTTTGACTAACAGGAATTGGGACCTGTGAATTAATACCTAAGTATGTGTCTAAATGCCTACTATTTGGGGATGTTTGGTCATTCATTTATAAGTAGACTTTAAAGTACAGATCTCAAAATCATTAGGACATTGGGGAGATTTAGAAATCTCTTTATTATTTGAATAGAATCCCTCATTTTTGCTTGTTGACCCCAAACTTCCGAAGAGAGCTGCTCAAAATGTAAGGATTTAGTAACTTTTAAGCTGAACTGGCCCTAGGTACAGTTGGGGATGAGATAAAACCTAGGTTCAGTGCTGCCAGTTTTTATTCATACCTTCCCTTTCCATGTTTACTTGAACTCAAACTTAGAAAAACAAACAAACTGAACTGCTTTCTTGCTCACCCGGAAGTATGTCCACATAATGGAGGTCTGCAGTTCTCCAGTGGTTCAGCCAGAAAGGAGGAGCAAAGTGTGTGTGTGTGTGTGTGTGTGTGTGTGTGTGTGTGTGTGTCCCCACTGAGCATTCTTATCACCTCTGAAGTGCTGCTGGTAGGCAGTTGCTTGTTCTATTTTCTTTTTAAATATATTTTTATTGATTTCAGAGAGGAAGGGAGAATGAGAGAGAGACAGAAACATCAATGATGAGAATCATTGATTGGCTGCCTCTGGCATGCCCCACACTGGGGATCAAGCCAGCAACCTGGGCATGTGCCCTGACTGGGAATCGAACCGATGTGCTCCTCATTCATGGGTCGATGTTTAATCACTGAACCATGTTGGCTGGGCTCTTGTTCTACTTATTCTTATGATCAACTTGCTTTTAAGCCTTCCCATTTGCTTTTTATGGACCCAATCATTCCAATCACAAGATGTAGCCCGTTGCCCCAGAAGTATTATGTTGGAGAAACTACTGTAAACATGATGTTTGTAATAAGCAGAATTAAAGCAAACTCTCTAATATCCTTAGGTCTTTTGGAATTCTGATTTGGGAGATTTTAACTCTTGGTCATCAGCCTTATCCAGCCCATTCTAACCTTGATGTTTTAAACTATGTGCAATCAGGAGGGAGACTGGAGCCACCAAGAAACTGTCCTGATGATCTGTAAGTTATAATTATGTTAACATAAATACCCAAAAACAAAAACACAAGCACATGCACTCTAATGCCTCATTGGTATGGTATTTTAAAATGAAAACTGGTCTTCATATATTTGTATATCCTACATAAAATAGAAATTGATTTATATTAAATTTATTAAATAGATGAGTTTTTAAAATTTATATATACACATTATATTTCACTTCAGAAACAAAATTTGGAAGAGCAGAATATATTTATAGTCCTGGTTAAACAAATTATAAGAAATAAAAGCTCTGTGTGTGTGTGTGTGTAATGTGGGGTGTATATATGTGTGTGTACCATTATATTTTGGAAGCTATGATTTGGCTAATATCTTAATCTGCAAATTAAAATATTCTATTAAGTAGGAATGTATTGTGTAAAAGTTGGATGGCATTTGTTAACATAGCTGATCTTGGGATAGAGTACTGCTAAAAATTATAGAGGTTATTATCTGTTTACACTCTAAACATGTAATGACTAAGTATTAGTGACTCTATCAAATTGATCCTAGCCACTATTAAATTTTAATAAACTTGTGATCCTCAAAGAGTAGGTGATTTTGATCTAAGTAGAAGGGAAAAACAAGACAAGTTATTTTGCTGAGTTCTAATCCACCTTCTTGTGAACAACCTCAGCAGACATATCGACTTGAGACTTTTCCCAAGAGGTGTTTTACCCAAGAAGTTTCTGAGAGAACATACAAGCAACAAGTATAAATTTCTCTGCTATGTGCACGATGCCATGCTAAGGACCGTATGATATGCAGAGGTGTTTAAAACAGGGGCATGAGTTTTCAACATCTCAGATTGTATTTTGAAAGAAAAGACACACACGTGGAGCAGCTGGTTAACAAGCCAACATGTAATAAAGTGCTAAACTCTGTGGTACAGGCAAGTGCAAGAGGAATTAGCAGTATGCGGATACACACCACGATTGTACTGCCTTGACTATGTTGTTATTTAGAGGATTATTCATACCGGAGCCAAAAGATGATTAAGTACTGGGCACCTTGGTTGGATGTTTTACTGGTGAATGTGTTTGTATTATTTAAATCTTCCAGCTAGAAGAAGATTTGAATCCCTGTTTCTGGCGTAGCGTTTACAGCCTCTGGGATATTGACAGGGAGATTAGGTATACACAGACCTGAACAAGTTTGGTGACAGTGACTAAAAATATGCTTCAGGTACTTGGGGGAGATGGGGAGAAATTCTGTAAGTTAGGAGTAAGAAATGATACACAATTTGAAAACCTTTGATCTAGAGTTTGAGAAAAAAATACCCCAGCATGCGTAAGCATGAAATACATTTTTATTAAATAATTAGCAACCTAATCATATTTTTGCATCATATATATATATATATATATATATATATATCACTCAGAAAATGTCCCCAGAATTTCAGTCACATGAAATTTTTATTGTGCTATTAAAATTTTATCAGACATAGGCACTTTAGGAATCATTGGTATGGTATCAGTCACTGTTGTACATTTCGATTGATGTGTTCACTTATATAGTTTGGGGAGGACAGAGGTGGATAACAAATTATTTATTGTGGAACAAAAAAAATGTAGGTTTGTTGAACTTTATTCTAATCCAAAGGTATCAAAAAATGCAACTGGAAGGAGGGAGAATGCATGCTAGGAAAGTGCTATGAAAAGAATATTCTACATAATTTTATCTTGATTATTCAGTTGGATACATTATTGCTCTACTTCTGTAAAAATATAGTTTCCATGAAACCAAATTTTCCATTGGTAGTCTTGAAGTTCATTTGAACATCAGTAATTAAAAAGTAAACGATGCTCTCACAGCCCTCCCTCAGAACCCCGGAAGGGTTAACTCATTGCCCAGCAGGAAAACAAGATGTGCTAGGAAATGGAGCTCAGAGCAATGCCATTCAATCTGGCTCTGGCCTTAAGTTGTCATGATAAAGATTAACTACTCTCCTTAGAGTACAGAGGGAACTGATTTTTATTTGAAGCCGTTCTCTGAGATCACAGGCCAAGCTTAGAGGGTTGAAAGTCTGCACTGAGCCATCCTGCACCTTCTATTCACTGCTTAAATTCCCAGCACCTGGATGCACTCTGGGTCAGGTGAACCTGCGGAGAGCTATGCTGTACTCAACTATTAATGGAATGCAGAAGTTCAGAGCATTCCCCTCCTCTCCCCATCGTCCGGGATGTGTGGTGGAAAGCCCAGTCCTAGGTATTCCCTTCAGCTTTCAGTTCGCACAACAACCATACCATTCTCAAGAGAAAACGGTTCAAGGGGCAATCTCCTTCGAGAGAGCTCTTTGGGGTTCTCCCACAGACTTATCACGGTGGCAACTGGAATTCCCCGAGAGTCTCTCAAATGGAGGCAGCGACAATGGGAGAACGGGAGGTGCACACTCTTATTTTTACCCCTGAAAAATAGGTGCACCTAGAGGCTAATTGAGTCTCTCTAGGGTTGTCATAATGAGTAAGGGAGTTCTTAAAATCATATTTCATGTGCTTGGTTTAAATACCTATAGAAACTCATTTCCTTAAAACTGAAAGATGCCATGGAGTTTTTATCTGTCGAATTTGAATTGCTTTCTGAATCCAAGGCATTTATTCATAGACACTGAAAATGAACGGTTAATGAGGCTCATGGTATTTTGGAAAAGAATTGAGGCAAAGAGGAGTAAGGGTTGGCATTGTGAATGAAGGAATTTGAACCTGAACACTTAGCTGAATGAGATATTTCAAATGTGATGAGTGTGTATCTGTGTAGAGCTGGAATATCCAGCCCAGGTAAATTTTAACAACAGTAACGTACCTATATGTACATTTAGACTAATATGCTTGAGTATTTGTAAGTATAAGTTAATACATGTCTCTAATGCATGATATTGAATTATGACAAATGCCTATTTATAAGGAAATACTGCTATGCCAAAGGAATAGTTGTTATTAACTTACTTGAAAGATGTAAAAACATGTATTTTCAGGATTAAGTTCTTGAAAGCTTCTTCATTTTATTCCACTCTGAGCTTAATGCTATTTAAGGACTCAAGTTGTACCCTTTTTGTTTAAATGACTTGCTTTATAGAGTTTCTCTTTGCTTAATTCAGGGCAATTTAGTATTCATTTTTTCCCTGGATGTGGGAGAGAATGGTTTATATACTATCTAAAACATACCAAATGTTTTTACCATCATAAAATTAAGAATAATGATTAGATTCCATGTAAATTAAGTCTCTATAGATGAAAAATAGTAATATCTGCTCAAATAAATTCTATAGATTAAATAAGAGGCCGAACTTTTGGAGGGTGGTATGAAGTGGTGAAGTGCAGTGTGGCCAAGTGGCAACTGTAAAAATGGCTTCTCTCTCCTTTTCCTCCTCCCCTACCCCTTTCTTCTTTCTTCTTGCTTTCCCCCCCTTTCTGTCCTAAATAATCTCCTTTAAGTATCTTAAAATTCTTTGTAGAATGAGGCAAGTCATAAGTGAATAAAATAAGTAAAAACTTCATAATTGAAGTATGACAGGTCTTGAGAGAGTCTATCTATTCTTTGCCAATATCTTTGATTCATAACTTTATTTTTTCTCAGGATGCTTCCTGTGGAGAATTATACTTTACTTTCTCCCTTCACTTTCTAAAATAACTCTTAGACTAGTCATCAAGATTCTACTTTAACTATTACTTAAAATATTTAACAACAACATTTTATTTCAAATCTAACCATTGGGATCTTTTATCATCCCCATTTCTAAATGCCAGAGATTATAAAGAAATAATGTAAAAGATTAGGTTCTCAGCCATGATTCTAATTTTTAAAAACATAGAGCCAAATTTGGCAAATTCTATATCCAGAATGTAAATTCCTTGTCATAAATGTGAAATGACATCAGATCAATACTAGAAAATAGATCAATATCAGATCTCTCCATAGTACTTCATATTGAGTACTAACTCTAATCTGAGGTGCTTGTCCAAAAATGAAAGAGATGGAAATAAAATTTGCATACCACATTATAATGGAGACTATAATTCCTAAAATAGATACCAGCTATTTTAAATACAATACCCATAATGATTTCCGGATCATTGTTAACTGTGATTGAATATATACTTACAGTAGCTCCATTGTCTTTACCTTAGTCCAAACCTCCATTATCTCTCACTAGTCTTCTGTAATAAATTTCTGACTTCCAAATTGCCCTTCTACAACCCACTTTTCACATGTAGCCAGGTAGAGTAATCTTTTAAAAATATAAAAATCATGCCTGTTTAAAAACTTTCAACCGCTTACCATTGTAGTGTCATAAATCCAGCTCCTGGCCTGGTCTCCGATACCTGCGTGATCTCGCCTTCCTCCTCTGACCTCATCCCGTGTGCTCTCCTCCTCAATGACGGCTCTTCAGCCACACTGGCTTCCTTTCAGGTTCTACAATGTGCCAAGCTCTTTCCAAATTTAGAAGTTTACACATGCTTTTTCCTCTTCTAGTGTGTTCACTGACTCCCATCCCCACCCTATTCCCATGACCAGCATCTTATTTTCCCACAAAGTTCTTTGGCTTAAATGCCACCTCTGCAGAGGGACCTTCTGTGAGCAACTCACCAAAAGTGTTCCATCTTTATGAGATTTCACATGGTTTTCTTTAGCACTGTTTTTTTTTTTTTTTAGAACTTGCAATTTATAATTTTATAATTACCTGTTGATATAGTAGCCCTAATATTTTTAAATACTTCCCAATTTATGTTTCTTTATAAGTTTCTCTCTCTTTGCCCCAAATCTGCCTTACAGCTCCAAAAAGAAAGAGAGAGTGAGAGAGAGAGAAAGAGAGAAAGAAGGTACTTGACCTTTTTAGTAAGTCAGTAGACTTGAAAACCAAGCCTGGAGGAGAGAGGGTTATCTAAAATCCATTAGCTCCTTGTTAATAGACTAAATGCCAGTTTTGGTAACTAGCACCTACAATTCTATATAAAGATGATCTAATTAAAAAAGAAAAAAGGAGGATGTTGATCTAATAAAAAAGGGGAAGTGAGTAGAAATACCACTCCTGCTAAGCCCTGGAGAAGTGTAGGAAGAAGAGGGCCTGACAGGCAGAGGGAGGAGGGTGAGGATGTTGGATATCTAGGTCGTGCATCCTCCTCTGTGGGGTTCAGTCAGATTAGGTGTGGGCAACATCAAGGGCATAGAGCAACTGCCCACGCCTCCCAGTGTGGGAGGACGGCCCGGAGATCATTGAGCAGGGGACCCCCCCACCGTGACACGGAGACCCAGCATCCTGAAGGAGGTAGAATGGCATGTCCACACGGAGGATGTCTAGTGTGAACTTTTAAGCCTCCTTTGTTTCCCACCTGGTGTGAACATCTTGTTGAAAGCTAGAGATTAGGCCATGGAGTGCCCTGTGGGTGTGCAGCGGAGACAGCAATGCATTCCCCGTGCCTCGTCAGCATATAGAGGACACAGTGTAGTATCAGGACAGAAAGGTTATGGTTAGAAAGAGAAAAGGGGAAACCAGTTCACTGGGGAAGGGTCCAAAGACTAAGTAAAGAGATCACAGACAGCACATAGCAGCTGGTGCCTACAGGACGGCCAGCCCAGTCACTCGATGTAATTCCTGATCATCCTACTCTGAGCCTTGTGAAGATCCAAGGGGCAGTGGGGTCCAAAGGATGCTTCACTGTGACCCTGTAGATCACACAAGACTTTCACCCAGCATATATCCTGACACCATCTTGGAGAAGAGGGAAGGAGTATAATTTGCCTAAAAATAAGAGAGGTTAGCTATTATCCAGAAAAGACTGCGCCTCACCTACCAAGATTATTTAAAATATTGAATTGGACTAGATTTTTAAACTATATTCATAAATGATGCTAATTTTCTTCTGCCAGGTGGGGGCCCTGAGAAAGACCTAATTAATTACAAACAGTATAAAAGAGCTACATTGTTTCCTGCTCGTATGAATTTTAATGAGATAAATGTTATCACCGTCTGACATTTATTATATGTATCTCTATGAGGACAGGCGCCACAATGCTGGTGTAATAGGTGTTCAATGAATGAATGGATGAATGAATGAATGAATATTGGTAAAGCATGCTGTATAGACATTTCTCAGACAACTGTTAAGGAAAAGGTAATATTTAATCAACCAGCTATTTATGTCTGGGGAAACCGAATCTGTTAATTAACCTGACAGTGTAATGAAGAGTAAAGCCATTAGAATCTAATCTGGTTTCTACCTCTGGTTATCCCACTAAATAACTGTGTGGCTTGGAATAATCTTAGATTTTGTTTTAGATATTAAGGTCTGAATGTAAAGTCTTTTTAATATTCAATAATTTTTATAGCTCTAGGTTTCCTTATGTGTTAAGTGAGCATTTTCCATCTATCATCTATCTATCTATCTATCTATCTATCTATCTATCTATCTATCTATCTATCTATTTGGATTACTAACTGTTAAAATAATGTCAGCTATAAAAAACGGTGGTAGCTAATATAAAGATAGTAACATTGCAGACTACGATTAAAAAGAAACCAAACACTTTGTCCTGGTTCATTTATATTAATTATGGAAAACTGGCAGTAACTCAAAATCTCCTTCTTCTAAAAATACCTA